TGCCGTATGGAGGAACATAATGCTTCACTATTCATCAGTCGAGTCAGCAAGTCTCAGCAAGCAGTGTACTCAGTCCCAGGAGCTTGGTTGCAGCGGGCAAAGACACAGTCAGACAGGTGTGTGTTTCTGCATCCCAGCCAGCTAGTTCTACAAAGTGAGCAGGGGGGCGGGGGAGATGAACCATGAGTCCCAGCAAGCCTATCTACATACCAGGTTTGCATGAGAACATGCTATACTTAAAGTGTTCCTAAACCCCCCCTACAGTACAATCAGTCTGTAGATGCAGTAAAGATGCTTGTTATAGGGATCCACTGTGGAACCTAAGGGGTTAATCCTCTGCATTGTGTGAAAAGGATGTTTGATTCTGTCTTCTCTGATCTGCCCCTTCTACTGTCCCCAATCCATCTGCTGATAGAGAGCCTCGGGAGTCACTCTGCACATGCTCAGTTTAGTGTGTATTGCTAGATTTTTTTTTTTTTGTTTGGGAGAGTGCATGTGATCACACAGGCACAGGGCCAATCCGCACTGTCCAGACAGAGGTCAGCGGTTTTGCATCCTCCTAGAGCAGAATGAAAAAAACTCCTGCAAGATTTAACCAGCGCTCTGCCGGACATTGATAGAAGTCACAAGACTGCTCTAATTGCTGATGAGAAAGTTATTTAGCAGTTTATATTTACTAAAAATGAATTGCATTTCCATGTTCTGTGGGAGAGACCAGATATAGTGAATGCAGGGTCCGGGGAGAGCGAATATAGTGAATGCAGGGTCCGGGGGAGACCGGATATAGTGAATACAGGGTCCGGGGAGAGCAGGATATAGTGTATGCAGGGTCCGGGAGTGAAAATTATCATTGGTATGTTTTTGCAGATAAGTGAATGCGGGGTCCTGGGAGACCAGATATAGTGAATGCGGGGTCCTGGGAGACCAGATATAGTGAATGCGGGGTCCAGGGAGACCGGATATAGTGAGTGCAGGGTTCGGGGAGACCAGATATAGTGAATATGGGGTCCGGGGAGAGCGGATCTAGTGAATGCGGGGTCCGAGGGGGGGGGGATCTAGTGAATGCGGGGGTCCGGGGAGAGCGGATCTAGTGAATGCGGGGTCCGGGGAGAGCGGATATAGTGAATGCGGGGTCCGGGGAGACCGGATATAGTGAATGCGGGGTCCGGGGAGATCGGATTATAGTGAATGCGGGGTCCGGGGAGAGCGGATATAGTGAATGCGGGGTCCGGGGAGAGCGGATATAGTGAAGGCGGGGTCCGGGAGAGCGAGCGGATATAGTGAAGGCGGGGTCCGGGGAGAGCGGATATAGTGAAGGCGGGGTCCGGGGAGAGCGGATATAGTGAATGCGGGGTCCGGGGAGAGCGGATATAGTGAATGCGGGGTCCGGGGAGACCAGATATAGTGAATGCAGGGTCCGGGGAGAGCGGATATAGTGAATGCGGGGTCCGGGGAGACTGGATATAGTGAAGGCTGGGTCCGGGGAGAGCGGATATAGTGAATGCGGGGTCCGGGGAGACTGGATATAGTGAAGGCTGGGTCTAGTAACACTTTAACCATCCATGAATTGATGAGGCAGCAGATTTATCTTCACAAGCTGATCTCCTCTTTCCTCGGTATATTGGCTTGCTGTGACTTGTGGTACATCTGCTGATTCATACTCTTGGTGCTGCATCATTATGTTGGAACTTTCCACATATTATTCTGGCTACAGATTTGCTTCACCCATTTGTACTGTAGATGACACAAGGTATTATCAGCCGTGTATTTAGAGTTCTGTTGGTTTTCTGTTGCTTCATCATGTTTGTTTCTTGCACATAAATACATCTATTTGCACGTCAGCAGTCCTTTTTTTTTTTTTTTTTTTTTAACCATGGAGCCTCTGGAATACAGATTGTTACCCCTCACAATGTGGGGTCTGTATTCCCCCCTATATCCCATCATCGGTGGATCTCATTGCAGGTTGGGTATTCGTTCAGTAGCAGCCGCTTTGTGTCATTTCTTTGCCCCAGCTAACTTCTTGCAATCTATTACTAATTTTGACTGGGCAGCTGGATTGGTGTGTTGAAATTATTAGAAGATTGACATTGTATCTGATGGAGCTACAGGAATCACCAATGCAGTAGCTGCTGACTTTTAATAAAAGGGCACTTACCTGTCCAGGGGTCCCATCTGGCGGTCTTCGGGTCCCAGGGCCGGCATGTTCACTACGGGCAGCTGGCTGTGATTCCTTGCAGCTTTGACAGCTGACTGCGCATGCGTGAATCCAACCCCGCTGCACTTCGTGATTGGTCAAACAGCCTTCTCAGACCTGTGATGTGCCCCTGAAGGTTATGGGGGGAACTTCCGGTGGCATTTCAGCCTGAAGAGGGAGCGGGTACATGTCAAAACCAGGTACTTGCTACTATAAAAAGAAAAGGAGTGGGGGAGGGGCATAAAGAGTATGGGCAGCACAGTGCCTAAATGGTACTAGGGTCATTGGTTCGAATCCCAACCACGGCACCACCTGCCTGGAGTTTGCATGTTCTCCTTGTGCCTACGTGGGGTTCCTCCAGGTACTCCGGTCTCCTCCCGCACGCCAAAGACATATTGGTAGGTGAATTGGCTCCTGTCTAAATTGTCCCTAGTATGTGTATGAATGTGAGTTAGGGACCTTAGATTGTACGCCCCTTGAGGGTTAGGGACTGATGTGAATGTACAATATATATGTAAAACGCTGCGCAAATTGATGGTGCTATATAAGTACCTGAAATAAAGAGGAATTTCCCCTTTAAGATGAAGTTACTCTGTAAATCTGAATTTCACGTACCTGGCTGATACCTGTGGAGGTTGGAAATCACTGTAGTAGGCACCCCTACCACAGTGATTGCTAGTGTCTTCCAAGTTCCAAGCCAAGAGGTTGCCATGCTGTTTGGCCAGAAAAGCGGGTCGCTCTCTCGGCATGGACGCTATTCATTGAACACTGCTATATTATGAGTGAACACAAAGCGTTCCCTTATGTGGATGAGGTGGAGAGAAAGAAAGGTGGTGGCATCAATGATCTCCACCTCATCCTATCAGGAAATGCTTTGGATTCGTTGAGAAGGCACAAAGTGTTATATGAATGGCGCCCATGCTGGACGAGTGACCTCCACACGGGTCCCAGAAGCCAGCAGCAATCACTGTGATAATGGAGCCTACTACAGGGATTTCCAGCCCCCGTGGGGATCAGCTATGTACGGTACATGCATAGTTACATAGGATCAGGAAGAATTTTTTTTTTTTCCCCAGCAGGAGCAAATTGGATCGTGCTTTGCTGGGTTTTTTTTTGCCTTCCTCTGGATCAGCTGTGGGTGTAGAATTATAACTGTTTTTTTTTTTTTGTTTTTTTTTTTTCTTCTTTTTTTTCTTTTCTTTTTTTTTTTAAATGGTTGAACTGGATGGACTTTTGTCTTTTTTTTTTTTTTTTTTTTTTTTTGCCACACCAACTATGTAACATTTCTCCAGTTTGGACCAATGTAAATTCTGCAACAATAGATGCAAAATTCTCTTTTCTGATGGCTCTTCGGATATTTTGTTAATGTGATTCTGAGTGGGTCTCGGCATGGAACCTTTTTATATAATTGATTGACATGTTTACCACTTCATTGTCATATATTAATATGTTTTGGAGGCTGTGTAGGTTTAGTGTGGGAACTGAATAAATGATTAACCTGTCTGTTTTATCCCGGAGTTTTCTCTTAGATCAGTCATTCTATAGGAGTAATCAGAGCCTGTTAATGTATTTATAACTTTCAATTATTTTTTTTACAAATCGTATTTATGAAGGCATTATTCTCTATCATTTGTGTTGAAATGATTGTCTACAGATAATCATTTTATTCCATATATAGAGAGTTGTAATTGTACGATCTGTGTCTGGAAATATTCTGCACTGCAGGCGGGATGTGCTGGCGAGGAAACTCTTGTTTGGACAATTCCTTATATACAGTAAATGCTTCCCAAAGTAATGCTGTAGATGGGTGGTCAGGTGTACTCCATGGGGTGGGGGGCTAAGTTGTAGATGGGTTGTCAGGTGTACTCCATGGGGTGGGGGGCTAAGTTGTAGATGGGTTGTCAGGTGTACACCATGGGGTGGGGGGCTAAGTTGTAGATGGGTTGTCAGGTGTACTCTATGGGGTGGGGGGTTAAGTTGTAGATGGGTGGTCAGGTGTACTCCATGGGGTGGGGGGTTAAGTTGTAGATAGGTTGTCAGGTGTACTCCATGGGGTCGGAGGTTAAGTTGTAGATGGGTTGTCGGGTGTACTCCATGGGGTGGGGGGTGGGGGGTTGTCAGGTGTAGTTGTAGAGATGGGTTGTCGGGTGTACTCCATGGGGTGGGGGGTTAAGTTGTAGATGGGTTGTCGGTGTACTCCATGGGGTGGGGGGTTAAGTTGTAGATGGGTTGTCAGGTGTACACCAGAGGATGGGTTTGTCAGGTGTACATGCTCTAAAATGGTTTGTCGGGTGTACTCCATGAGGTGGGGGGGGGGGTTTAAGTTGTAAATGGGTTGTCAGATGTACACTGCAGGGGGTCACACTGTAGGTGGGTTGTTAGGTGCACACCAAAGGTGTCACACTGTAGATGGGATGTAGACTCATGAATTGGCTCTCTATTGTCTTTTTGTTTTTTTTTTTTTTTCTCTAGAAAAGCCCGTTGAGCAGCAGGATCAGAACTTCAACCCCCCGTATGATATGATCCGCACAGTCAGTCTGTCGGTGTGCGCTGCAGTGGTGTACATTATTATCGTACTTGGGCTCATGTTCTACTGTAAGAAACGCCGCAAAGCAAAAAGACTGAACAAGAAGGATGGAGAAGAGCCAGAAATGGAGTGTCTGAATGGTGAGATACATGATTGGCAGAAAACGCCATCACATGACCGATTTACAGAGCTATATGATTGGTGGAGAGCCATTATTCCACACAGAACAGTATGGTCATTATGTAATTCTGTTTCCCTGTCTCCAGGTGGTCCCACACTACACAATGGACAGACCACTGCTGAGATCCAGGAGGAAGTGCCGCTCACCACACTGACAAACAAGAGACTGAGTTCCGGAGATAAAATCAACTTCCCCCGATCCAACCTTCATCCAATCACTACACTAGGTACTCCCACCTATCCAACCTCCATCCAATCGCTACACTAGGTGCTCCCACCTATCCAACCTCCATCCAATCACTACACTAGGTACTCCCACCTACCCAACCTCCATCCAATCTCTACACTAGGTGCTCCCACCTATCCAACCTCCATCCAATCACTACACTAGGTGCTCCCACCTATCCATCCTCCATCCAATAACTACACAAGAAAATCCCCCCATCCACCCTCCATCCAATCACACTAGGTACTCCCACCTATTCAACCTCCATCCAATCACTACACTAGGTGCTCCAACCTCCATCCAATAAGTACACAAGGAAATCCACCCTCCATGCAATCACTACACTAGGTGCTCCAACCTCCATCCAATAAGTACACAAGGAAATCCACCCTCCATGCAATCACTACACTAGGTACTCCCACCTATCCTTCCCCCACCTGATCACTACACAAGGTAAGGTAGTAAACCGCAATCCCCTCACACCGATGTAACCTCCACCCGATCACTACACAAGGTAGTCCCCCCAATCTAACCTCCATCTGATTACTACACTAGGTACCACCCCCTGATCTAGTCCCCTTATCCAACCTCAGTGCCATCACTATACAAAGTACTCCCCCTAATCTGACTGACCTCACGCCATCACCAAGCTAGGTACACCCTTCATCCAACCTCCATATTCTAACTATGCTAAATTCCCCCTCGAACTCATCTCATCCCCAAGATAGGTACTTCCCTGGTCTGACAATCATCTCATCACTGCACTAGGTACTCCGCTGTTCTGACCTCCATCCTTTCACTACACTGGGTTAAGTCTCCTCCGAAAATAATCCTAACCACCAATCTCTATCCTCTTACTCAAACTAGGAACATCCCTGATCCAACCTCCATTCTATTAACACACTAGGTGCTTGTACACCCCGCTCATCATCTCATCACTACACTAGGTACTCCCCTGATCTGACCCCCATCCCATTGCTGCACTAGGTACCCCTCGATCCGACCTCCATTGCTACACAAGGTACTCCCCTAATCTGATCCCCATCCTATCGCTACACTATGTGCTCCCTGATATGACCCCCCATTCCATTGCTGCACTAGGTACTCCCCGATCCAACCTCCATCGCTACACTACGTAATCTCTCCCTGATATGACCCCCATCCCATCGCTACACTATGTACTTCCCTGATATGACCCCCATCCCATTGCTACACTAGATACTACTCCCCGATCCAACCTCCATCACTACACTACGTACTCCCCTGATCTTGCAGACATTATCCCATCATCAAGCTAGGTACCTCCTTGATCCAACCTCTAGAACTATGTTAAATTTGCCTCTGAACTCCATCTCGTCACCAAGATATGTACTCACCTGACCCAACCCTCATCCTATCAGTAGATTTAGGTACTCTCCCTATTTGACCTCCATCCCCTCACCATCCAAAGTACATGCCAGGTCTGACTTTTATCCCATAGCTGTGCGGTCTACTCCCCCATCAGCTGTATTTCATGTTGTTATTATTTAAACGCTATCACATTGTCACCCTCTGCACTCCCCAGGGGTGGACTGACCATTTGGAAACTCAGGCACCCCCCCTTCCCCCGTCCCTCTCCACCTAATATCTAAACGCAACCCCCTTCCCTTCCTTCCTTCTGATCATCTACAAAGGTAGTATTCAAACACTTGGGCACCAAAGTCAAATGATTAGTTCTTGTTTTTTGTAGGGATGAACCTGGTACAGCATTTTGCAAATGACTTCATATACGACACATACTGAAGATGCCTCTGGATCAGAAATGTGGATTGGTTGTCTTGCATGCGATGCATATTTGACATCTACCCACGGACTTCCTGTAGGTGTTGATAATTCTAATTCGTAAACAGCAATTGTGTGGTGGGATTTGGAAGAATTCCATCTGGTTCTTCATCCTTCGGAGGTTGTTTGCTTTTACTTCAACACAATTTACTAATTTTCCATCAGCGTGCTTTGCCCAGACATTCTGCATGTGACTGCATTTAGCCGATTCCCTCGTCACCCGCGCTGTTTGTGTGTCTGAGTAATGACGTGCGTTTGTCTCCTGCAGGTCGTGGTGAGTTTGGTGAGGTGTTCCTTGCTAAGGCTCAGGGCATTGATGCCAGTGGGAAAGATGCCGTGGTCCTGGTAAAGGCTTTGCAGACTCGCGATGAACAGCTACAGATGGACTTCAGACGGGAAATGGACATGTTTGCTAAACTCAACCACGCCAACGTGGTACGATTACTGGGTCAGTGCCGGGAGGCGGAGCCACATTACATGATTCTGGAATACGTGGACCTGGTGAGTGTGGATGACCAGATTGATTCCATTGTCTAGAGCTGGCGACAGAGCTGTCATTCAGCTGTTACACTTCTTGGTTGTCCACCATTGTGGAGAAGTCGGAGATTAACCACATGCCGCCCAGCCACTGTAGAAATACGGCAGCAGGGCGGCACGGCTGGGCAAAACCACGTCTTAAAACGTGTGTTTGCAAAACAAGTAGGGGGAGGGCGCGAGGCGCGCCACCGCCCTACCTGTCCCGCCGATCACGGCCGCAGATGTCAGTCGCCTGGTCCCACTGATTAGCGGCAATCACTGACAGAGAGCAGGGCTGCAGTAGCTCTGCTCTCTGTCAGTTCCCTGTCAGCTCCTGACATGCTGAGCTGGAGAGAAGAGTTTATCTCTCCTGATCAGCGTACCCTGTGCAGTACACACCCCCGCCCCCTAGTAAAACACTCCCCTCACAGTTAACCCTTTCAGTAAATAAAAAGTTAACCCCTTCCTCCCCAGTGCCATTAGTACAGTCAGTGTTTTTTTTTTTTTTTTTTTGCACTGATCAAGTCAGTTCCCCCCCAGTGTCAGAATGTCTGCCGCAGTCCCGCCATAAGTCGCTGATTGCTGCCATAAGTCGCTGATTGCTGCCATAAGTCGCTGATTGCTGCCATAAGTCGCTGATTGCTGCCATAAGTCGCTGATTGCTGCCATAAGTCGCTGATCGCCACCATTAATGGTATAAAAAAAAAAATTAAAAATCCCAGTATCTTTCCCGCCATTTGTAAGCGCTATAACTTTCACGTAAACCAATTAATTTACACTTATTTTTTTTTTTTTTTTTTTAGCAAAAACGTTGCAGAATGCATTTTGGCTGAAATTTATGATGAAATTTGATTTTTACATTTTTTTTACTGGACATGTTTTATAGCAAAAAGTCCAAAATATTGTTTTTTTTTTCTCAAAATTGTCAGTTTTTTTTTTTTTTTTTATAGCGCAAAAAAATAAAAAATGCACAGGCGATCAAATACCACCGAAAGAAAGCTCTATTTGTGTGAAAAAAAGGACATAAATTTCATTTATGTACCATATTGCATGACCGCGCAATTGTCCGTTAAACTAGCGCGGCGCTGTATAGCAAAAAAAAGGCGTAAATTGCAGTATCTATACCATAGTTTGTAGACGCTATAACTTCCACACAAAGCAATCAATATACACTTATTGGAATTTTTTTTACCAAAAACATGGAGCAGAATACATTTTGGCCTAAATTTATAACCAACTTTGAGTTTACTATATATTTTTTATAGCTGAAAGTAAAATAATCGTTTTGCTTCAAAATTTTTGGTCTTTTTTTGTTTATAGCGTGAAAAATAAAAAGCGCACAGGTGATCAAATACCACCGAAAGAAAGCTCTATTTGTGTGAAAAAAGGACGTAAATTTCGTTTGGGTGCAGCATTGCATGACCGCGCAATTATCAGTTGAATTAGTGCAGCGCTGAGTAGCAAAAAGAGGCGTGGTCATTAAGGGGGGTAAATCCTCGGGAGGGCAAGTGGTTAAGGCTGGGCTCCCAAAGTGTTAGTAAACCCTAAAATGATGGCAATTACAGCGGCTGACCCTCGCACTTCCCTTGTCTGCTGCTTCTTTGAAAGCTTGCCTTTCCTCTTGTTCGAGCCGATCCAAAAATCGCTGCCCCAGATTTCCTGCGTTCAGGAGGCTCTGTCACCTTGCACGCTCCCAACCATCAATGTCCCTACTCTGTGTGCATCAACACAAAGTGACGGCCCCATAGGGCAGGATGGATGGCCTCTCCTCCGCTCCCACTGTACACCAAGTAATAGATTTGCAGTGGGCCAAGGTTGCGCTCAGTGCGCACACTCCTGCCTGGAAGTTGGGGGGCAAATGGAGTTGAGAGCGCTAGAGCCAGTGGTTTCGAAACATGAAAACTGTAAGTGCTGGGATACAAATATAAAGAAATACTTTACTGCGGAATGATTTTTTAATTTTGTTCTGACTGCATATTGAGAGTTTAGCCCTTTCACCGCCAGGTCTGTGCGTCGTACAATGGGGGGGCGGTTTATACGCAATCTGGTGGCTGCAGCCATTGGGATCGTGTCTAAAACTGACAGGCAGAAGCAGTTGGGTGGCTACGCTGCTCCCCGATTGCTTCCACAGGCCCCAGTAAAGGTGCTACCCCCCCCGTGTGTGCGCTCCCGCCATGTATTTAGCTCTGCTTGCCCATCTGTGGGCCTGGGAGCACCTTTATTTTATGTATTTCAGGTACTTATATAGCGCCTTCAATTTACGCCGCGCTTTACATATATTGTACATTCACATCAGCCATGGCGGGTGGAGGGGACCTTCCTCCTTGTGACTCGAAAGGCGACATGTATGACGTCACATCTGGGTCACGGCTATCACTTTTCCCGGCTGATCTGTGATCTGCATTGCAATACATCCAGAGGAGACATCCGGGGGTCTTTTAGACTTTGCATGTCTCATTGAAGAGAAACCTGTCACCTAAAAATCATCACACATGTTGGGTATCTATTCACTCAGCACAACCTCATCTTTTATATTTTACCACAAATTTGGGTTATTTGTTGCAGCTATTGGCCCTAAAATTTACTTTGTGTTGTTTGCTGACATTTTGTGTTTCCTAGAACTGTGCGGTTATATCGTGTGACATAAAAATTTAAACGACTATTATTTTATTCTCTAGGATGTCTGATTTTTGGGGGGGTTTTGTGTGGTCTTCTGGCCTAAAATGTTTTTTTAAACGTGTGCAGAAAAATGCAAAAATGGCTCTGGCAGTGAAAGGGCTAATGAAGTACAACCAAAGCGCTTTCAACCATTCCTCTCCTCTCATGCGGGTCACAGGAGTGCACTTGGTTCTGCATTCTTGTGACCCAGATTCCTTTGCCACAGAACCAGCCAGACTATGGAGGGATCTCAATTTTAATGTCCAGATCTACCAGATGCCTGACTGGCAGCCGCTCCCGCCCCCTTCACAGCCCAGCACTCCAGTGAGTGCTGGAGGGGCAGAGCAGAGAGAGCACAATCTAAGGTCCCTAACTCACATTCATACATACACATAATAGGGCCAATTTAGACAGGGTCTAATTTTACTTACCAGCATGTCTTTGGAGTGTGGGAGGAAACCGGAGTACCTGGAGAACCACGCAGGCACAGGGAGAACATGCAAACTCCAGGCAGGTGGTGTCATGGGTGGGATTCGAACCAGCGACCCGAGTACTGCCAGGCGGTGTGTATGTATGTGTGTGTGTGTGTGTGTGTGTGTGTGTGTGTGTGTGTGTGTGTGTATATATGTGTGTGTGTGTGTGTATGTATGTATATATATATATATGTGTGTGTGTGTGTATGTATATGTATGTGTGTATATATATATATATATATATATATATATATATATATATATAATATATATATATATATATATATATATATATATATATACATACAGTGGGGATCGAAAGTTTGGGCACCCCAGCTAAAAATTTGTATTAATGTGCATAAAGAAGCCAAGGAAAGATGGAAAATCTCCAAAAGGCATCAAATTACAGATTAGACATTCTTATAATATGTCAACAAAAGTTAGATTTTATTTCCATCATTTACACTTTCAAAATAACAGAAAACAAAAAAATGGCGTCTGCAAAAGTTTGGGCCCCCTGCAGAGTTAATATCTTGTACTGCCCCCTTTGGCAAGTATCACAACTTGCAAACGCTTTTTGTAGCCAGCCAAGAGTCTTTCAATTCTTGTTTGAGGTATCTTTGCCCATTCTTCCTTACAAAAGTCTTCCAGTTCTTTGAGATTTCTGGGCTGTCTGTCACGCACTGCTCTTTTAAGGTCTATCCATAGATTTTCAATTATTTGAGGTCAGGAGATTGTGAAGGCCATGGCAAAACCTTCAGTTTACGCCTCTTGATGTAATCCCCCGTGGATTTCGAGGTGTGTTTAGGATCATTATCCATTTGTAGAAGCCATCCTCTCTTTAACTTCAGCTTTTTCACAGATGGCATCAAGTTTACCATCCAAAATTTGCTGAAATTTTATTGAATCCATTTTTTCCTTCTACTCGTGAGATGTTCCCTGTGCCACTGGCTGCAACACAACCCCAAAGCATGATTGATCCAACCCCATGCTTAACAGTTGGACAGAGGTTCTTTTTCATTAAATTCTGTGCCCCTTCTTCTCCAAACGTACCTTTGCTCATTCCGGCCAAAAAGTTCAATTTTAACCTCATCGGTCCACAGAACTTGTTTTCCAAAATGCATCAGGCTTGTCTATATGTTCATTTTGCAAAGTTCAAACGATGATTTTTGTGGTGAGGACGTAGAAGAGGTTTTCTTTCTGATGACTCTTCCATGAAGACCATATTTGTACAAGTATCTCTTTATAGTGGAATAGTGTACCACAACTCCAGTGTCTGCCAGATCTTTCTGGAGGGATCATGCAGTCAAACGTGGGTTTTGAATTGTTTTTCTCACAATCCTGCGAGCTGTTCTGTCTGATATTTTTTCTTGGTCTTCCAGATCTTGCTTTAACTTCCACTGTTCCTGATGACTGCCATTTCTTAATTACATTCCGAACAGAGGATATTGACATCTGAAACCGCTTTGCTATCTTCTTATAGCCTTCTCCAGCTTTGTGAGCGTCAACTATTTTCAGTTTCAGTTTTCTAGACAACTGCTTAGAAGAACCCATGGTGCTGATTGTTGGGGCAAGGTCAGATGAGTCTGGGCATTTAAAACCTTTGAGATTGACATCACCTGGTCTTCCCAGACGATGATTGAGAACAATCCATGACACTGGCAGGTCTCAGCTTTGCAAAGGGGACAGTACAAGATATAAATTTCTGCAGGGGGCCCAAATGTGTTTATATGTGTGTTTGGGGTGGTATTATGTGTGTGTGTATATATATGAGTTTTATGTGTTTTGTGGTTTGTGTTTTTGTTTTATATTTTTTTTGTGTTGTTGTGGGTGTGTGTGTGTTTTATTTATGTGTTGTTGTATATGGGGGGTTTTGTGTATGTTTTTATTGTTTTATTTTGTATTTTTATTTTTTATT